TCGAGTTTAGCGGCTGCGTCAGGCGCCCAGCCGCGTCCCCCGACTCTGCGGAACCTGGCCACCTTGCGCTTCTTTGTGCGCGCGATGGGGCACCTGCCGCACTCCTCGGCGCCCTTGCTCTGGGGGGGGGGGGCTGCCGCCCCCTGGCTCCAGTCTGGCCAGTCGCCCAGCTGCAGTCTTCAGCCTTGTCGCGGCCGTCGTCTGCCCCCTACGCACTTCGCGGGGACATTGCTGCCCCTGTCGACCAGTGGTGCGGCGTTTTCAACTTCTCTATCTTCGACGGAGGCCTCCGGGGCGGCCGCCCCCCCCGGTCGTTCCTCGCCGTCCCTGGGCGCCGCCCGCGGCCAACCGGCCGGCGAAGACCTCGAGGGCCGCGCAGTTGGCAGGCGCCGCGCTCGCTGCATTCCGCACCGAGGAATTCCCCTTCAACGCCGGCCATTTCGCCGGGTCTGGGGCGGCTGCCGCCTAGACCAGCATCGCGTTGACCTCCCCGGAACGCAACGCCTCCGCGAACCGCTGGCGGACCTTAGAGATCACCGCGCGGCGCGCCCCGCGCAGGCACCTGCGCCTTCCGGCGACCAGTTTCCCAGGTAGTCGCGCTTTTCCTTCGGAATCTCTATCCCCGCCATGGCTGGAGGGATCGTCGCCGACTCCGAGCGCCCTGCCCAGAAACTCGCAGGCCGCTGGCTTCGGCATCGTGCGGGGCGCCGGCGGGCCAGCTGCAGCCGCCTCTGCGTGCCTGGCGGGCTTGCGGACCACCTCTTGCCCCGCGTCGTCGCGCCGCGGCAGGAACTAGTCCCTCTCGAAACCCGCGATCTATTGTCACGGGCCGATGTTCGTCTGCATCCATGCTGGGTCCAGCATGTAGCGTGCACCGGGCACCGCAAGCGGCAGCGCTGGCATCTCACGCCCCGCTTCGCTAGTCTTCGCGCGCCCCAGCGCGGCCGTCAGCCCCCCGTCCACGGAGGCGAGGCGCTGTAGAGGGAGTGGTCGTCGTAGCGCAATGCCCCCACATTTCGACGAGTCGGAGGCACGCCACCCCGCGTAGGTAACTCGTGAAGTTCTCGTCCATGACCAACCGCTCCAGGGCCCCGACGAACGCGCTGGAGGACTGCGCTGCTATCGCCGTCAGGCCCTTGCTCGCACCAGGGAGCACTCCACGTTTGCGACGACCTGCTTGGCCTCGGGCAGAGCTGGGAGTTTGTCGTTCTGGTCCACGCCCGCCACGCGCCCCGCCCACACCATGGCGCGCAGGGCCTGGTTGGGCACCGTCGGCCCGCACGGCTCGGTGGTCCTGTCATGCATGTGGTCGATGGAGTGCAGGATCATCACGGGCCACGGGGAGCCGTGCGCGCGCACGGGCCACCTGCGCATCGTCTCCATGGCCCGCGCGTGCGATTTCACCGTTTTGGCGCGCGTGCGGCCCGCGATGCCGACCTTGGCCCGCTCCGGGTCCATGCAGGACCGCGCCGTCTCGAGCGAGGAAGCTTCCATCTCCTCGAGCAGCGCGACCAGGCGTCCTCCAGCATGGCCCGTTCAGGACGACTACATAACTATGGAGCGCCCCCAACTGTTCCTGCACAGGCTCCTCAGCTACTGCCAGGTCCACGAACTCCCTGCGCGGCCGTCGTGTCTTTTCCACGCTGAAGTCCGCGGCAGCCGCCACCCGCTAGAGCGTTCCCTCAAACACGGTCTCGTTTGCCTGAAGCGTCAGCGCGGGCCGAGGATATCACACTTATGAAGCACCTTGCCGACCGGTCGCCGCACAGCGCCCGAGCCCAAATGGCCACGATCATCGGGCAAAGAGAGAAATTACACTTTCGTGTTGACACATCGGGCATGTGTGATCGGGCCCTTCTCACAGGAGGAAGCCTCGCAAGGCAGCACAGGAACGCCCGCAAGATAAGTACGGGACAAACGCACGTGACACCCGTATATGACAACCACGGGATAGCCTTAAGTCGGGCCTGTCCCCCGACAGGGGGATTTTCGACGACAAATAAAAATTACCCGAAAACAATCCAAAAATAATCCAAAAATAATCAAGGAACCATTGTTTGAATATTTTCTCACCTTTTTGGGGTACGTTTTGAATATTTATTATTTTTCGTCGAAAATCCCCCTGTAGGGGAACACGCCCGACATAAGGATAGCCCGAAAGCCCACTCCCTGGACGAGCACCACAAACTGTTGTCAAATCCACCTCGACCTACGGCCGGTGATCCCCAGTCGCTCGCCCAAGCAACAATTTCGCCTCGCCCGCACGCGCGGCTCGAGCAGCACTTGAACTGCAACCGACTCCCCAATTGTTGGGCGCCTGAATTATCCGGGGTGACTCGGGCCCGGGGCAACTCGGGTTCGGATTCCCGAAAAACGAGCCCGAGTTGGCCCTGACCCGAGTTACCCCTGATGATTCGGGGCTCTGGGCGCCCGAATTATCCGGGGTGACTCGGGCCCGGGGCAACTCGGGCTCGGATTCCCGACAAACGAGCCCGAGTTAGCCCTGACCCGAGTTACCCCTGATGATTCGGGGCTCTGACCTCCTCCTCCTCCTCCTCCTCCTCCCCCTCCTCCTCTTCCTCCTCTTCCTCCTCTTTTGGGCGAAAACTTAGAAATACCAAAAAATAGTCGTCCCAAGTGGTCCACCAATGATCAAAAGGATCGTCCCCGCCCAGCCTTCGAGCTGTGTCTGCAAGGTCTCGCCGGCGCGTCCCGCCCTCTGGGCGCGCCGCTGCAACAGCCACCTCGGCGCGCTCTCGACCCCAGTGGCGATTCCCAACCCAACGGCCAGACCCTCAAATGTTAGAACGCGCCAGTATCACATCTTCCCCTGCTTCGTTGCACCCTCATCTGGAAAGTGCACTATGTGCCATGTACGGTCGTTGCGTCTGACAAGTTCGTCTACTGTGTGTGTGCCTGTGAGCGTGTCTGCTCAAATTCCTTATGTCGCAGGTTGTGCGCATGCGGCACGCGATGTGCGAAGGCGACATGTATCTGTGCATGTGAATATATACCTTTACACATATATACATATCTATATATATAGATGAGCCGGTCTTCATACATCACCGGCCCCCCTTCGGGTGATAAGGAGGTCGAGGGGGAGCTTGCATGTCGAAGTGGATGTCGATTGAAATGTGATGTGAACTTCGATGGCGATTGGATCTGCGATTCAAGCTGCATGTCTATTGGATCTCGATGTGCGTTGCGACTGCGCCGTGCGCCGCGCCGCGTGGCGCACAGACGCGTTGAAGACCCTGCCACGGTCGCAAGACATGGGCGTGGGGCGGCAGGCGCCCGCACCCACAGGGGCCGCAGGTGGAATTTCATTTCGGGACACGAAGCGTGGGAGCGATGTGCCGACACGCGTCCGCGCTCGCCGGGGGCCGCAGGTCGAGCTCCCGACGGGAGCACGAGACGGGCGGGAGGTGGGCCGCCGTGGGCGCGGGGCGGCCTGCGCTGTAATCCACTGGGGCCATAGGTGGAGCTCCCCAGGAGGAGGAGGAGGAGGAGGAGGAGGAGAAGGAGGAGGAGGAGGAGGAGGAGGAGGAGAAGGAGGAGAAGGAGGAGGAGGAGGAGAAAGAGGAGAAGGAGGAGGAGGAGGAGGAGGAGGAGGAGAAAACGTGCGAGGGATGCGCCAGGATTCGAAGGGGCGGCAGGCGCCTGCGCCCACGGGAGCTGCAGAGGTGGAGCTCTCCCTGTGGAGCCACGAAGCGTGTGAAGGGGTGGGCTGACATGGGCGTCGCCAGCACCCACTGGGGCCGCAGGTGGAGCTCCCTGTGTGGGAGCGAAACGCTCGCCGTCGCTCGGACGTCCATTCCCTGTGCATTGTTCGGCTTCGTGCGTGCATTTTTCGCAAGGTGAACAACACATGCTCCTCGATGGCCCTCGTCGAGAAAAAAATGCGCACGTCCGAACGATGCCACGGAGGTGTCAGGGGTGTGCGGAAAGCGACGCGGGGCGGCGCGCTCCCACGCCCACTGGGGCCGTGGTGGCACTCCCTGTGGGGACACGGGATCTGCCGGGGATGTGCCGAGACGGCGCGGGGCGGGGCGCGCGAGCGCACGCTGGGGCCGAAGGTGGAGCTCCTGATGGGGGCACGGAGCGTGTGAGGAGTGGGCCGAGATCGATATGCGGAGGGAGGGCAGAGGCAGGTAGCAGAGGAGGAGGAGGAGGAGGAGGAGGAGAAGGAGGAGGAGGAGGAGGAGGAAGAGGAGGAGTAGGATGGAGGATGAGGATGAGGAGTGGAAAGGAAGGCGGGAAGAAACGCGAGGGGCTGCGGAGTCAGGGCGAGGAGCCGGCAACGCTGGAAGGCTGGGGAACGGAATCGTGCTCACAGAACTGGAAGCCCGTGATCCGAGAGTCCAGCATTGAAGGGGCCCTGGGACAAACAAATAAATACACACAAATAAACAGATTCCCCATATGTTCCTATATTTTCTGGGTTTGTGTCTTCCCCCCCCCCCTTCCTATATTTTCCCATCTTTTCTGGTGAATCGAAGATTACTTGTGTCTGTGTGTTTTCTTCCCTCCTGAAGCATGTGCCCGCGGACGTGGGCGCCCCGTGGCGGCGTCGTGAGCCCACTGTCTCGCCGCTGGTGTTCCCAAACAGTTGTCTTGTGCCCTCTGTGGGGCCAGAGTCTCCGCCGCGTGGGCCGTAGGGTTGTCTCTCTAGTCTGGTCTCTTCGCACGATCTGCCTTCTTCTCTTTGTCTACTCTTTCTACTCTCTCTCTCTCTCTCGTTCTACTTATGTCTTGCGTTCTCCCAATCTCTCGAATATGCCCACAGTCTCTTCTCTTTCCAACATTTCTCTTCGCGATGCTCCGCTTCCTGGACCCAAAAGCCTGGCATCCCACTGAAACCGGCAAGAAACTTAAACTAATACCCAGAACCGATGCCCCAGGAACCCGACCGCCCATCGAAACCAGCGGCACGAGTTCGCCAGATCCTGACAATTCTGGGAACCCGTGGCTCAGAACTTGGATCCCGGGGACCTGGCTGCCTGCTCCAATCGGCCAAGCACTTTCGCCAATGCTGGCAATATCCGCAAGGACTCCTTCATTGCCAGCACTGCTTTGGAATAAACCCAGAGCCAACAAAACCAGCTACGCAAGACGTAACTATGTTCAGCGCTTACACCTCTCGACAACTCATTTGTGGACAGTGTTCTTGGCTGGAACGACAATCGGCGCCGGAACTGCACAACACCATCATCATTCTCCTTACTTCATGGAGCATGTCCTCTGCAGTTACGCAGACGTCCAGGATGGCGCCCGTATCAGACTGGAGCGAAACGCACGAAAAACGCAGCAGCAGCGATACATGACAGCAGGCACACGGCACTGATACCAAAGAGAAGCCAAACGCCCCCCATCTGGATGATGAGCAACGCGCTGGCATCGTATGCGCCACCCCCGACAAACATAACGTGCACAATCTGCTTAAAACCAAACTGCCTCAGCACTGGTGTTCGATTCTCGGGGTCTGCCATGCGGAGCAGCATGAGTCCTGTGGCGGTCGAGCCCATCGAGAGACCCAGCTCAATCAGCCCGCGCTCCAACCAGTAGTCCTTCAGCATGATGCGAGCAAGCATGAACAAGGCTACGAAACCCCAAGCGATGGCCGCTACAGAGGCGATGATGAATGGAATTCCTTGCTCGACTACCTCTCCCACTGGGAGGAGCGCCATCCCAGTCACGATCATGCCGTCCTGGGCCGTGTTCAAGATCCGTTCGACAGTCGCTCGATCGACGGGGGCGTTGATCCGATTGAGAATGCTTTGCAGCACTACTGACGTGACGAGGCAGAAAGGGAAAAGCGGGAAGTTACCTACCATTTCGCCGCACAGAAGCCCAAGTATACCACGGAGTCCAAGAGCACTAATCATGGCCAAGCCCATGAGACATATGTGGTACGCAAGCGAGTCGATTGACTCAACTGCCACAACCTGCTTGCCCATGGCAGGCCGGTCTTCCACATTGTAGAAGTGGCCCGTCCGCCTTTGGGGGGCTTCCAACATGGCTCTCTCAAGCATCACCTTCCCGATCGTTGAGCGGCGTACAAATACGCGATCTCTCTGCTCCATGGTTCCAGGGCTTATCATAGTGGAGGGAGCAGAGCTCCGTCGCAAGAACTCCGTCGCTGGTGGAGTCGGCTTACGGCCGTCAACGGCTGCTGATTTACGGCCGTCAGCGCCATCAACGTCGAATGAGCGGACCGGATCCACTCCGGGCTCCTCCGCTGCAAGTTCAATGCCGGTCCCACAACTTGGCCCAGTGGGGGGCTCCAAAGCCGCGAGCCCTTCCAAGAGGCCGCGCTTGTTGCCCCAATTGACGCAGTAAGAGCCGATGCCCACTCCAGCCAGAAGCCCGACCGATGCCGATGCCATGCCCATGGAAAACCCAGCAGGAAAATCGACGCCGTCGGGAGGCTTCAGTACAAATGCGGACCTCATCCCCGCCACCACTCCGTGCCCCCCTTGGAAGCCGTAGGGGACGACAGGAGCAAAGAATGGGCTGATATCCCACCAGCTTGCCATGAGGCTGGTGACGAGGCAGCAGACCGAATACTGTCCGAAAACAACTGCCAGACCATACAGCAAGTGGTTTCCGGCCTCTTTCCACACATCGACGGGAGAAGGTAAAGGCTGCCCGAGGACGAGACCCGAAAATATTGTCATCGTCATGAGGCCTGGGACCTGCTCCCATCCAACGAGGCACTGAAGGATATCCCTGTGCGCATCAGCCGAGATGAGGTTCACAAGCTGCAGGAGGAAGAAACCAACCAATCCCCCAAGAAGACATGCTGGTACTTGGAGCTCCTTCAGGAAGCCGATCTTAGTTCGCAGGCAATCGCCGAGCAATAGCAGTGCCCCCACGCAACCAATGGAAAATGCTTCCGAATCCTTCATTCACGCGGAAAAGCGCAACGCTGGCCAAATATGATCAAATGAAAACGGGTGGAGCTGGCTCCGGGGCCCGTGCGCGGGAACCGAGATGGATACTTGAGAGGGAGCGGCCTTGGGGCTTCCTTGGGGCGCACTCGCTTGTTGGCGGGGAAGTTTTGGGCCGAGGACTTATTACATTCCCATACTAGACCTC